ACACACACCACCACACACGCGACACACACACACACACAACACACACACACACACACACATATATATATATATAAATGCCATAGAAGTAGAATGCTCCACGAGTCTAAACTGATATAAAACCGTAGATTGAACTCATGATATATTTATAAGAGTATTGGCTATTGTAGCTGATGTGCAGTTAGAAGTAGTGCAGTAAGTGGCCTGCACACGAGAGCTTAGTAACGCGAGTTACGCTCGGTAATAGTATCCACCGTGAATCATCTCATTGAATAATGATGATAATTTAAAATTTGAATCATATTTATACTGAACCATGTACATAGATATGTATTTATATACATATGTCTTTGAGATTGGAATACGTCCTGTCAAATGCACCTCCAGGATATATTGATACTTTTATTAGAACGTTTTGATAAAAAAATACCGTTGAAAAATCTAGACTCGAGTCATCGCAACAAGCTTATGAGCGTGTTTCCGATTTCCATCCTCCTTCTGCTGCGCCTCCTTGCTTGCAGATTTATACATAACTTTGTTACGCAAATGCATAGATGATCAAATTTATGATTCATGCTATCCTCCCTGGCCATCACCCGTCACAGTACAGCTAAATCGGGGAGACATCTCTGAAGGATTGGAGTACGCCGCATCATCTTCCAGGCGGAATCCACCACACTCGGTTATTACGTTGTCTGTAGCAGCTGGTGGCAGATCAGATAGCGTGCAGTGTGGGGACAATACATTTGCGCGGGTGGCCGTCTTATTACATGTAGCGTCCGCAATGCTGCAGGAGGTCATACAATTCGGCTGCTGACCAGTTAAACCCAGCACAGCCCTTGCGTGCGAATGATTGCGAATAATCTCCGGGATGCCAAACAAACTCATACCGCCATAGTTCAGCGGGTGAAGATCCACTGGAGAACGACGGTTGGTATTATTCTATTGTGTAGCGCTGGCATCATTTGGTGCCTGATGAGGGTATAGAAGATAGTACCTTACAGAGCGTATCCTAAGTCTACCAAGACTTCCCTTATTGCGATTCATTAGGCCGATAGCAGCTCAAAGTTCCCAGTGCTCAGTCAACAGAGCGAATACCTCCGCTAAGGGTACCACCGCTGGCAGTTTCCCAGATTCCGCTGTGAAGAGCTTCTCGAAGTCTTCAAGGGCGACATCTGCACCAAATACGCGTATAATGGATATGTGAGTACAGCCATACTTGAGTGCAAGCGGTGCTTCGATAATTGACCAGAAAGTCAACTTTTTTTTCACATATTTTAAGTGCGGTCATGAACACAAAATGTACATAATCTGATCCACATATAACGAGAAATACATATAAATATATATGAAAATAGAAGTAAAACTATATAGATATATTTATAGTATGATCATTTATATATATATATATATATATTCATTCATTCATACATATATTAATATATACATGTACACGAACACACAAACACACACAGACACAGACGCAGACGCAGACACAGACACAAACATTTATATATACATATACATACATACACACATACACACACACACACACACACACACACAC